AATCTACAGCTCAGCTGACTGAAGTCAAGCGTAAGAATAGAGGTGCTAGGCTTCCTGGATTAAAATGAAACAACATGACACTTTCCTTAGGACATACACAGATTTCTGCAAGAGAAATTGCATTAGGAGATGCAAAATGTAACTCAGACAGATTGAGCTAGTATGTCAAATGTGCTGTTGTTTTAATAAAACAGCAACATTAAGTTTAACCTTCATTCATCTAGAATAAACACTTTCTTTCTTCATTCATTCATCACACTGAGTTTCCAGACACACAGAAAAAACTCTGAATTCCACCATCACCCCCAAGAGCATGAGCACAAAAAGCACTGTTCATCATTCTAGGGTAACTTTTTATCACAGAGACATAATATGCAAGATGCTCTGGTCAGGTAGGAAATTATCATTCTCAAGCCCATTTTTACTACTGTAAAGCTTGCTGGATGCTCTGGGAGGAATACGCCCCTCCTTCCATAAAGGCCATTGCAAAATGGAAGGTATGGTCATTAGAAGCAGAAGACCAACAGGAAACAAAGGAGGAAAATCTCCCATTTATTAACTCTGAATTTAATCTTTTGTCATTTTCATCTTTTATTAAATATTTATTAGCCCTTAAATTAGCATCTGACATCCTACTCAGAGGATTAATGTCTTTCTCCTCTGTTTGGCTGTTTCTGAGCTGGGAAATTTATGCAATGCAGGTCTCTGTCTACCCTAAGAGTCTCAGCAGATACTTTCACAAATTCAGTCTCTTCTACCTGAACAAATCTTATATTCTGCAAATGATGGATATAATACATCAGCTGGGTATCAGTGGGACCCTACTCTGCAATTATGTAACACGCATATGTGGAAACTGACAGGAAGCTTCTTAGGCAATATTATTTCATAGCATGAATTACTACAGAACATTCCTAAACCATGGAATTCTATCCAACGATCACATGCTAGGAAATATTGCCATTATTTCTAATTCCACTGACTTTGATCACAATAATTTCCTCAGTGGTAAGTTATGGAAATTCAGACCTGGTTGGTGATCACCATGGATAGTCCTTAATTGAATGAGACAGGCTCTAACACATTTTAAATACAATTTTCAATTAATAGGATTTTTTTCTTTGTATTTGCAGAATTGTTCTCAAGGGAGAGTTTCATGCTAATTCTTTTAAATTTGTTTTTAAAATCGGATGACAAGACTACTATTTCCAGTATAGCACCTTTAAAATCTGATGGTTAGCTCCTGAAATCATGAGTTAAACTTAAGTGTGAAACTAAGGGGAAAAAATGCCATGCCTTTTTTCTTTTGCCTTCTCTAGAACCATGACAGAGCTCATGGCAGTAAAAAAAAAAAAGCAAAAAAAAGCAAAAAAAAGCAAAAGGTGGATAATTACTTGTTAAAGCATGCATTTTGTAGTAATTTGGAATTAAAAAAAAAAAAAAAGAAAAAGAAAAAGAAAAGAAATATTGCAAAAGATATAGCACGAATATGAAGTCTGACTACACCATGACTCTGTTCTCAAGTTTTTATGCCTCAGTCATTAGTTTACAAACCTAAAACACTCCCTGGCACTTACTGTGTGATGCTTACCCTACAAACATCTGGTGTTTGGTCTACAAATACTAATACACTAGTGAGAAGCAGTGGAAGACACACAGTGCCTGATTTATACAACAGAAAATACACGTTTAATGGTTTTGTTTGTTGCCTTTTTTAACAGCACAGGTTTTGCTGCATTCAACAGGACAGCTAACTATTCTCCATGTAACCTCTGTAGTCCCTAGGACATCTTGTAATGTAACTATCAAGACCGTAATTTCTTATTTGAGCATGTCAACTTGTGTAATTATTAGTTCCTGTTTGTAAATAAAGACCATGTTATAACTAATTAAAGACTGACAGAAAAATTGAGGTTGGATGGGAACTTTGGAGATCATCTTGTCCAGCCCACGTACCCAAAGCAGGGTTAGGTAAAGCTGACTGTTCAGGATCGGTTGTGTTTTCAGTATCTCCACAGATACTGAACAGTTCCAGTTCTCCACAGATACTGAACAGATAGTGAACAGCTCCACAACTCCCTGAAGTTAAAACCACTGAAGTTAAAAAAAAATAATCATCTGCAACTCTCTGAGGATTCTTTTTTCTCTGTCCTCCAAGTCATTAATGAAGAAGCTGAAGAATATGCCAGTATCAGCCCCTGGGGTACAACACCAGTGGCTGGCCTCCAGCAGTTCACCCTGCTAACCACAACCCGTTAAACTGAGCAGTTCAGCCAGATTCCAGTCCACCTCTTCATCAGTTTGTTTGTGAGGATGTTATGGGAGACAGCATCACAAGCCTTTCTACGCTTGAGATAAGCAACATCCTCAGCTCTCCCCTCATCCACCAAGCCAGACGTCTCGTCATGGAAGGCTATCAGCTTGGTTAAGTGTCATTTCCCATTCTTAAATCCATGTTGGTTACTCCTCATCACTTTCTTCCTCATGAGCTGATTTTCTTTACTGCCTATCAAACAGTTAATGTGCCATCTGCAGTCAGAGGTCACGCTCCCTTGATTCAGACTTGGCTCTCTAAAGACATTCTACTTGGCAAAAGTGAGAAAAATGATCCAAATAAATAAAAACTGTGAATGTGAAGTCAGTTCAACCCTTGTGTTTTAATTTAATGTGGGACATCAAGTTAACAGAGTCAAGGCACCACATAATCACTCAGTAGGGATGCGTAACAAATACTGAGAGCAGTCTGAAAGAAGTAGGAATGGCAGCATCTGCTTGCAAAAGCACCAGAAGAAACAATAGAGACAGGGCTAGGAGAAGGGCAAGCGCTGACACACGAGGGCAGAAGAGACAGCAGCCCAAGTGGCAGATGAGAAGCATCCTGCCACACCTCGAGCAGAAGGCCGCACGCTGCTCAGGCCCCACGAGAGATGCCCAGCCAGCTGGAGAGGGCAGCAAAGCCACCACGCACCAGCCCTGCCACCAGGACAGGCCGCAAGCCTCCAACGCACCCACAAGGAGGAAGCGGAGGCGAGGGGCAGCGACGTGACTGATCCAGAGGCTGAAGAAAGCAAGCTTTGTGGGAAAGGACTGTGCCATAAGAAATGCCTCGCTCTTAAAGAGGGCAAAAAACTTGCCTAACAGTTTATTGACATTGGCCAAGAGGAACCCAAGAGACGTAGTGAGGTTGTTACAGCCACTGGCCCTCCTCACCACACGCGGGTGCACCTGGCCAAGCAGGAGGCCTGGTGGTGGTGAGTGCATGGCCACCGGCGTGCATGAAATCCATGACAGAAGGAGCACAGGTGAGTGAAAACAGATGTAGTCCAAGTAACTACCACCCTCTCCTCCGATAAGATCTTGCGCTGGGTTTTGTTGCATTACATTCATGTAAGTCTTCCACATTTTCTGCCACTTTTGATGAAAATGGGCACTGCATAACCCCACGTGCAGGCTGGTGACTCAGAAAGGCAGAGAGCTGCTGTAAGCAAACCTCCATTCACTGAGCTAAGATGAGTCATGGCCCTACTTCAGACCACCTCAGTTCTCCATGAGAGTACCCACAAGCTACTCACTGATTACAACATCCCCCGATGTCCAGAGTTCCTCCCATTTAGATTAGTTTTCCAAACTATGCTATTAATCCTGACGACAAACTCAACTAAAAGTCTCTGAATCTCAGAACATGCCTCTCCACAGGCTTAGTTGTTCTGAGCCTAACTATCAGAAGACTGCTCAGGACAGTCTTGATCCCCTGCTATTGCCTTATGCTGAATGAAGGAATGCACTGCAAGCCCAGAGGGCAAGTAGAACCCAGCTAGGCTCCTTGCAAGGGTGGGCTGTTATTAACACAGCAGAAGGCGGCTTGAATCTTCTGCTATTTCCTATCTCTGCTAATCCCAGGTCATAATTCTTGACCCTGAATCCACCTAAAGAGGAGTCCAGAATTTCACTCTCTCCTTTTAAAAGGCCTCACGTGCTGAACCCATACAGGGCACTGTGCACTTACCATCTGCCTCAAATGCATTTCAAAATACTTTCCAATAAAACACATCTTAGAAATACATACCCAGTACAAATTGAAAAATTCATGAAAAATATCATATGGCTTGCAATGTATTGTACAAGAAGAAATTAGAAAGGGAAGCCCAAGAAAATCAATAAACATCTATTCCAAAAAGTACCATGAGAACTTCTATTTTAACCTCTCATCAGAAAAATATGGACTGAATAAACAACATAAAGATAATGTTACTGTACTTGATAAATCCTTAAATTACACAAACTATGAAATCAAGCAGCACAAAAGCAAGTGAATAAACACATTGAGAGAGATATAAAGCAAAGTGTTAGAGGAGCAATCTTTCTGTTCACGTGGTCTTGACCCATTATTGGACCACATTAAACACGCATTTCCCATCAGTGCTCACACTTCAAGAAGTAACAAAACCACTTATTTCAAAATCAAATGTTAAAACCCATCCCATGGCTCTTTCTTGGGTCATCCTCTGGCTGTACAGCATGGTCTTGGTAGCATAGAACATAAAAAAGATGTTCTCTCTTGGTAAGCTTGATAGACAAACAAAACTAAGTTTCTACTCCACTACAATTGTTTTATACAGAGAGTGGCGCTCTGCAAATAAATAGCTTTGGGGCGAAATAAATAATATACAACCATGATGATCATCAGATATTTGATTCATTGTTTAGTGCTGTCACTATTTATAAATCAATGAATTAGCAAGTTTTGACCGTGCCATTTTTCGATCATAAGTTTACTGTTTTAATTATTAAGAATGTGCCAAAGCAAAGAGGGAAAAGCTCTGTGCTGTACTTTCTTTAAATATAACAAGTGTGTACAAATATACATACATACACCAAAAATAATAAATTAATGATTTCATTGCTTTACTTTGCACGTGCTACTGTCATTCTTATACACTGTAGCTTACTTTTTCTGTAAGAACTCTGGGTGAATGAGCGGAAATGAAAACTGCCCTTACCTTAATGTTGCAAGCTTGTTCCATCAGTCTCCTGGCGTTCTCCTCAGCTCTGTACCTCTTGGGCAGCTGAACCCTGAAGAATTTTAAAGCTCCTTCAAAATCAGCTTGTAGAAGGTCCTCTTTTGAGGTCTGCAATCAAACACAGAGAACTACACTAAACACTGAGAACATGTAGTCATGCACTTTTACTGGATTTGTCATTTACTGACTGCATTCCAAACCACCAACATTCACATTAGCCCAAAAAACATCCTCTTTAAAATCGGCTCTCTAATCCATTTCTCATAAAACAAGACAGAGGCTAAAACTTATCCCAGGAATCCCAGGCAGAGTAGCACAATCAGAGGACTACAACACATTAATGTATTTCATCCTTCTGTACCTGCAGGGTAAGAAAGGGATTCTGGCTAAGCCTGTCAAGATGAAACTGAGTAAGGGAAAAACATAACAAAACAAAACCAAGCAAACAATAAAAACCTAGGAGAATCTGTAATGTTTTTAGAGAGCTTATGCTTTAGAACATCGCTGATTTTTATAGTGCTACCCTAAAAAGATAATACATAGATACATAGATATGGTTGCAGACATGAACAGCAGAAGCAAAAATGCATATGACTCATAAGAGGCATCAGCAAGTCAATGTGTAGAAGTCTGTGACACAATTTCTCAAAGAACACTCTGCCAGAAAATGTTTCACATGTTTATTTCGATATTTCTCATAAGACTGTACCTCTCACTGTGGTAGCAAGCCTAACAGGTCAGAAAATGTTAAACACTCAGCATTAATCCAGTTCTGCTACTGACGGAGTAATATGATTCATGGGTCAGGGACAAATGCATTAATTTTTGGAGATGCAAGAACTATACCAGAAGATTTTACAGATATGCAAAAGCAAGCCTTTAGGCTGTTCCTTAAAAAGGTTCACAGAGACTGTACATCCAGACAAGACATTCAGGACATCACCTCAAAATGTGAATGTCTTTTAAGCCAGAAGGAACAAAGGAACATGTGTCAGCGTACAGAGCAGCACCACGGAGGCTGGAGCTGTGTACCACCACACTTCAGCCGACACTTCCAGAGAGACACAGGTGCCTTTGCTGAAGGGGCTCTCCTTTCCTAAGCTATCCTCTCACCCACCCAAAACCCTTTGCTGCTTCCACACAACCACTTTCCATGAAACACGCTGCAGCCAAACGCATGGGATCTGGCTCCACACTGGAAGAACTGGGAAAACAGCAGTCCTTGTCATGAAAGAGGTAAGACTAGATGATACTCTTCTTTTTTCCTCGGTGTTAAATTTGTTTCAAATAAGTAGAATTAAATTTAATTCTCACTACAGCAGAAAAAAAATTACTAATGGGTTTTATTTACAAATTCTCCTTACGTATCATATTAACAAGTCTCAGTAGCTCATTTACATGGAAATAATTAAACCTACTATGTAAAACATTTTCTTAAAAGTACAAGTATACTGCTTCCCAAAGCAAACTGAACTTTGCAGTATCGCAGATACTACGAGCATGCAACAGCAAGACTCCAACACGGCTTGACATATTCCATAGTCCTGCTAAAAATGCTACAGCTGGGTCCACTAAAACATAGCAGTTTGACCAAGCTTTATCTGATGGGGAAATGGAGAAGGGTTTTTGAATGGATTTTGAATGATGAACAAAACTGGGAACCACAGAATTTAAGAGGGCATTTTCATGGTTATCCAGCATTTCTGATAGCGGAGAACATGAGCTGACATCAGAGGTCTGCCACCCGAGCACCAATAATCATCACTGCTCAGTGTCCAACCTTCCACTTTGGGGACGGCACAGCAACCTGTCCTTTGGCTTCCTCAATCAAGACCAACAAAATATCCATTCCGTACATTCACCTATTACCCTACATATTTCTGGAGATGATCATACCGTACACCCTGCTGAAGACTTACTAGTAGTTTCTGCTACATTAATCTCAAAGTAAGAGTGAGATAACTCTAAATGCAGCTGAAGTTGCTTTGGCAGATCTGTTTCCCTTTGACTGCAGCATTTTCTAACACTGTCTTCAAGCTGCTCAGAGTTTCCTCAAGATCTCTTTGATCCTCCCTTCACTTGCAGCCAAGGTAGCTGCTGGGTCATCACTGCAAGGACACAACAAAAGCTGCTTTCAGGATGTGGATGAGAAATGCTCAGCTTTACCAACTCTCACATCTGATTCTGTCCACAAAACTTTGGCAGAAGGACTATCTGGCTGAGGCTCCATCTGACAAGACCGATGTCATGTGGACAGTGGGCTGGTGCACTTAGATACCTAATGAATCAGACCCACTTGTGAACACAGCTATGGCCAACACATCCATTTCCTCCTCTGCACGCTGTTTTTCTTCTGGACAAGGTTTAGTAAGGCTGTATACGCTTTTGCCATGCTTGAGGCTTGGTCAGTGCTTCGGACACACAGCGGGCTGTATTTGGGGTGACCTGCTGGCAGCGAGCAGTGCTCAGTGCCAGAAGCCACGCTGACAACCAAGGCACTCTGGGCAAAGTTCAGCTGGATAACGGTGATAGAAAAGCAGTAATTGGTTTAACAACCAGCTGACTCCAAAGTGATTTCCCCCCTTCTCTCTCCACAATGCTGACTGCTGTTTTTGCCATACGGGTCAAACAGATTTCCCTACAACATTATACATTTGCCCTCTTTGGAGACAAGCTTGCTGCTGCATTTCCAGTCCAGAATAATATATATGTCAATAAAGTGAGAGGTAGGCCCCTAACATGCAGCTCTTTCTATTTGGCTGAGTATTTTCATTTCATTAAAATAATCTGTTGACCAGAAAGTTAGAGTTTCACTATTAAAATCAGAAGAAATCAAAGTAATCTTTTGAGAGCAATGTTAACTGGATTGTGCATTTTGTATAGTTAATACTTTTTTTGGTCTGAATTATGCAAACAAAGCTTTTCAGGTACTAATTAAAAACAGGAAACAACAAAAATCGGTATGTGTATATAAACACATACGCATATACTTTTTTTATACATATACGATATATGCAGTACAAAAAAGTGTATAGCATTGTTGTTTTATTATTCACATTTCTTGACATTTTGTGATTTTAATCAATAAATCATAAAGACATTTCAGGCACCTTTTGGCAGCTGTTGTACAGGCAGAGATTTGTAAATTTGCTGGTTCATGTCACTCAGCTCATGGATCTCCTGAACAACTCATTTCAATAAACCAACTGTAAGTCTAATGAAGCGATAATTCACATTTGGCAGGTACATTGTATTTTGGGGCACATTGGGACTTCAGGGCATTTTTTAATATTCAAGATGTAATTCTTAAATAATCATATTTTTGTATAAAATATATAAAGGAAAACAACAGGCAAAAGATGAGCCTCACTGAGAACTATGAACATAACGTCAACTTCCAATGAACTAAACTCTCAGCTTGCTTTTTAGGGTTTGGCTATACAAGTTCCCTCACATGTCCTTCCCACATCACTTAAGTATTTCAATATGTTCATAAAATTATCTTAATTGGATTATTTGAAATTTAGGACAAGCCCCTTTGCAGAATTAATCAGCAAACTTTCAAGTCAATAGACAAAGTTCTGTGAGATTGCAAAGTTCTGAAAAACAGATCACCTCAGCTCTTTTTTTGAGACTTAAATGATGTTTTTTTATTATTACTATTATCATCATCATCATTTTAAAGTAAATACTGTTACTACTGCCATCTCCAAAATACTTAGGGAAATGTGATTAAGACATAGGCTTGGCTTTTTTCTTTAATTTAATTTTTCTGTCTTCAATTATTAATTCTGCAGTCTCATTCCTTACTGACTGTACCAACTGAATCTCCTGTTCCCACCTGGGAACTTATAAAGCAGAAGAAATTTCAGATCAACCACATGGCACTTCCTTAATTTAATTCTTCCTCTTTTACACAAACAGATAAAAAAAAATCTGTAGTGTTCTATGCATACGGTATATACACACAGAATTTATATAGAATGTAAGCGAACATAAAGTACGTGCTGTACAATCCAAGGAATATGAATCACGAACAAGATGTAGTAAAAGGCAGAGAAGAATCCAGCCATACTCTACTGCACTATTAGATTTACTGTCAGAAAATTCAAAATGCTCACATGTATTTTTACACTAATTTTGCAGACTATAATATTTAATATTGATATTTAATATTAAAAATCCTTAACATGCACTGTATGATTTTAAGTTCTTGTAGAAGCTGCAGTGTAACATGAAGGTATGGGAGGTGTTTTTTCTAACCTGATGGTTCCTTTCCCACTGGTAACAGCAGACTGCAATGCTGCATGTTGCATGATTTTGCGCTGCGCTGCCCTTTGACCTGAGGACTGTGAAATGGCTCCAAGAGGAGGAAGTTGACCTGCTGAGCTTCCAAGGAGCACCAGGATGGGTGGACTTGGAATCCAGGCTAGGGACAGATGGACTGGCAAAGCTACCCTGCCACAGGTGCGCTGGCATGCACTTCCAACACGATCCATCAAAAGCCTCCTTTCATTGGCATCACTTCTATGCTCTTCTTTGCTGGGAAAGCTATACTGTCACAAATACATATATTTTTTCCTGTTAAAATCTGTGTTCTCTGTTAAACACGGCTTGGTATAAAAGTGTCATGGGAAAAAAATATAACCTGACTATAGGCAAAAGCTTTCAGAAGGCCTAGTTGGGGTTTTGTGCACGATGAGTTGGCATCCAGCAGAGATCCTCTGCTTGCCCACTGCCTACATACAGCAGTGCACCTCTGCTCAAAATTGCACCAGTGTTTGTGTGCAGATCCAAACTTACAAAAGGCAATGTTCATTCTGCCCCGTAAAATGCTGATGAATGTGTGGAAGAGCAAACAAAAAATCTCCTAGCTCTACCCACCCACAGATATCCCCAAGGGGAAAAATCCACACAGAATTAGTGCTGTTCCACTTGCTCATCATCACATATAACTGATGCCAGTGAGCAGGTGATCTGAATTTTTCTGAGGTTACAGATTATGTTTTTCAAATAACACTATTATATAGTGTTATTATTATACCTATAGGTATAATATATATATATATATATATATATATTATATAGGTATATATTCTGCCTGTCATAGGCATTTATTCCCCAAACCACAGCAGAGGAAGATGCTTATAAATGCACAAAAGAATCTACTTCTTAATTTTACAAAAGTCCAAGGTTTTGAAGTATCTTTAGTTCTAATTAAAGCACAAATTCTTGGTCCTCGGGCTTTTCTAATTTTTTTTAAAAATCATCAGAAACAGCCTCTACTCCTCCATGGAATGGGTATATGTCAGAAGGGATATATGTCAAAAGAGGTATATTTAGCTAATAAAACCTGGCAGGAAATCACGTTCACTTCACAAATCAAGGCTTTTTAATAACACAAGCATTGTTTGTATTGTTTTGCCTTTTTCCTTCCCCTCTCCTTTTTTTAAATAAATAAAATAATGTCATTCAGCAAAGCTCAGATGTCTGGCTGTTGAAGTACACTGAATTCCCTGGTATGCCCTATCAGGAGGGCCAGCTCCAAAGCCTGATTAAGTCAAGTGAAAAAGAGCTTTGTATTTTTGCCTCTGCTTCCTTAGAACTCATCACAAAACAATTCAGAATGATTTGGTAGTCCTTGCCCAGGAGACCAACAGCACTAAAGCAGCTGGATGGGATGGAGGAAGGTTTAGGTGCACTTTGAGCTAGACTGGCATAATGCTTACAAACACAGCAGCTTCAGCCATGCATTATTAGCCATTACGGCAGGCGCTACACCCAATTCTACAAGTGCCTGTAGGTATCCAAATTCATCTTCACTTTACTAGCAATTTAAGACTTTGTGAACGTTGTCCCTACCATCTAACGACGTTTGGAACACAAACACAGACTCAGCTACCTGCTTTTTTATTATTATTATTTTTTTTGAGCATCTTGCAATGCACAGATCACCATCATTTATCTGAGGGTACTGCAGAACACCGAGCAGAGGTTCAGCAGCACGATGAAAATGCAAGACAGGTCACTCCATAACACCACAATACAGGACTACGCAGGGCGTGGAAATGAAGGAAAGGCACCAAGCCACAAGAGCATGGTACAGGTCAGTAAAAGCACTCTTTTCACAGGCATCTCATAAAAATGACATTCTGGTGTCACACCACTGAGCAGGCATGCCCCAGGGCTGTAGCTTGGTTTATGGCACCCCAGAGAAGACCCAGCTAGGGCTAGTTGCTGACTTTCGGATTCTCTGCTGTTTTGTGGCTTTGGGTGTGTTTTGCACAGCAGCAGCAATGATGAAGGCATACTTCTGTGTACCATAAGATGCCACACCAATTTCAGGCCATTTCACACACAGACATCAGTTGCTATGACAGATAAGAACATCTTTAACAATTTATTTCCCAGATAATTCCACACACGTATTTTAAACTTTTTTTTACATGGTATCACATGCCTTGTCAAAACCGAATATAGAAACAGCAGAAAACCAAAACACATCAACACAGCTTAAATGCTATGAATGCTTAAAACAAACCTTTGATGTCACAAGTGTAAGATTTGAACTGCAGAGAATTAACGCACTTTCCATCAGCACCTAGAAGTAGACAGGGCATGCTGCTTATCTGCAGTCATTGCAGAACTGAGAACAAAAGCATTCACAGCTTTAGAAAAGATTTTTTGGTGATGCAGACCTGGTTGCGACCCTTCGAGCTGCTGAAGGAGTGGCACTGGCTCCCAGCAGCAGGACCTGTGTTCAGCCCTCCCAAGCTGCCAGGAAGAAGAAAGAGTCGGTGCTTAGGGTTGTGAGAAGCCAAGGAAAAAAAAGAAGAGACCTCTCACACCTCTGTTCAGCATAAAGAATCCTGGGGGGAAAGCAGGTTTGGGAGGAAAGATGGCAAATTCACAGAGAATTAATTTCAAGAAAACGTGATCTCACCGCAAGCAGCCGAGGCACAAACAGGCGATGCCCCATCCCCAGAAGTTCCAGCACCCGACATGCATACTCATTCACCAGCTTGCTTCTCTCGTCATGCATGTCCTGTGACTTTTTGACAGGTGGTGTGAGCTTGGCAGCTGGGGTTTTGCAAGGTACCCCTTCTTCCATGAGCAGTAAGTAGTAAGTATCCAGAGTGAGAAGAACAGGCTTTTAACCACAATTTCAAAAAGTGCAGTGCCAGAAGAGCCAGCCTGAGCTCTTTGCGATCGGTACAGATGGGCGTCTACAGCACAGCAGACACTCTCAAAATGAGAAAAGCATCTTTGCTAAGAATCAAGGAAAAATATGATCCACTGTGCTGGCTCAGCCAGAGTCCGAAGTAGATTTGAAAAAGAAACCAAAGAAAACATGGATCTAAAATGTACCTAAAAGGCAGGAAAATGGCAGAAAATGAGTGCAGGAAAGCTCTGACAGAAGGAAAGCAATGGAGAGCTCTCAGGGCTCAGCGTGTCTGAGACTGTGCGTGTGAGCAGACAGCAGCAGCAATAAGAGCAATAAAGCCAGGGCAGTTAGGAAGCTGCAAAGAGAAAAGGATGAGCTCATTGCAAGCTCGGATCCGTGACAAGCGTGGCGGCTGCTGCTGCTGCCTCTTGCTGTGCATCAGTAATGAAGGGGTAGGAGAGGAGGGGGCTGGGAGGGGGTGAATGAGCATGCAGCGTGCGTCTCGGGGGAGAATGCCGTAATAAGAAGCCAATAGTGAGCGGCTGGACGGATGAGCTCCCCCTCCCCGTCTACCTTACATCAATTCAACTGTGACGGGTTTTGCTGCTGGATCCCAGGCTCGTGTACATGAACCGCATCCTCTAATGCTCGATGTTTAGGGAGAAATCAGCCTGCCAAGCAGTGGAATGACTTTTGGTCGATCTGCTTCTGCATAACGCAAGCACAGACAAAGTGCAATCTGGAGCCGGGCAGGTAGGGCAGGGACCCTCCTACCTCCCTCCCAGGCTGCCGAACTGGAGAGGGGCAAGGACACCGCCAGGGACTGCTGGCGAGGAGGGCAGCAGCCGGCTTCCGAAAAGCCAGGGAGACGTAGCCTAGCCTGCACAGGATCGAGTTAAATAATTTAAATAACGATCATTTCCAGCACTGTCTTCTCCAGAGGCGTTTCTAAACCTGGATACAATCAGTAGAGAGGGGATGATGTCAGCATGTGCATTTCAATTGGTTCTAGAAATTAACTGCACGTTTGTAAGGAAATGCTGTGATGTCACACATTAAATTGCCTCGCATCTTCCCCGTGCGGGGAACAGGCCAGGTGCCTCTGCCATCTGGTTAAGGACAACGCAGCAGGCTATTTCTGCGGTTCTGTATTTTAGAAAGCATGTTTTTATGCTGCTTCCCTTTTGCACTGCCTAATTATAACCTGGGCTCTGTAACAGAACAATACACTTTTCCATCACAGCGGTGATATTGCACAGATTCCAACACAGAGAAAGGCGATAATTTAAAATATTGCAAGGAGATCTGGAGATCTAAAGCACAGCAATTGCAAACACTTCTGCAAATACATTATTTTTGATATAAAAGCCATTTGTCTATCATGTCAAGAAAAATCATTTAAAATACTAACGCAAAGTAAAAATCAGTAGCTTGGATTTGTTGAATTGAAATAAGAAAGATGTTCACAAGTAGTTCAAATATGAACACTAATTTTAATATGCCATGAACAAGCGTAAATAAAAACTGCAAATGGCAGAGAAAAATGAATTCATTTCATACCGTCTGATACACCACCCATACCGTACTCCTTTCTAATACAAGCAAGTTTTCTTGGAAGAAGAAGAGATGAAAAAAAGGGACAGTATCATTGAAAATCTCCCCATGCACACAGGTCACCTTGGCTCATGGAGACACGTGAAGCAGGTGGGAGAACGGATGCAGCAGAAAGAGCAGAAGTCACAGGTCAGAGACAACAACGAGGCCTCAGCGAACTCTCCTGGGGCAAAATGGGATTGAAGTTGACTTCACCACCAAATTCGCCAGCAAATTTTGTGCAGTATTGAATGAGCTCTTTTATACAGGTTATCACCTGAAAGCTGGCTGAAGCACCATGGGCTGTGAGATGCTGCTTTGCGGAGGAAACCTGCCCAGATGGAGCAGAGCACAGAGCAGGACTGCGAAGAGAGAGGTGATGGCGCTTCTGCCCAGGCTGAGCTTGTGCTCTGTGCATAGGCAAGGACCACGATCAGTCATACATCACAGCTTGAAGTCTCACCTCAGTGAGCTATGTTTGTAGGGCAAGGGGTTTAAAGAAAAGAAAGTAGATCTCTTTTTTTTTTTTTTTTTTTTGGTGTGTGTGCAATTTTTCAAGTGCTTACATCTAGCTTAAACACCTGCGGGCACACATGATATTCAAGGGACATTCAGGTTCTATTCTCAATATGGGAATGAAAATATTACTCAAAATATTAAAAGGAAGAAATAAGAGTGTTCTGTTGTGTGCTTTGGGAAACAAGGAAGATACAGAAGTAACCGGAAGCATAGGGGTGAATGGGAAGAGTGAGTGGTGACCAAACACAACTTGTGGGCAGAGAACTGAGCGTTGTCCATATAAAAAGCCTTATTTTTTTCCTTGCATAAATCAAACTTAAGCTACTAGCTCTCATCTTTACAGAGTTTTGCATTTGGTTCACTTTGGGTAATGTCTGGGCTTATGAATAATGGAACGAAGTGATTATTAATTAAAGTCTTTAATTCTAGAAAGTTGTAATAGGATCCAATAGTTAGAGGCTAAAACCAGATGAATTCAGGTTAGAAATAAGGTTCAAATTTTTAGGAATGAGGAAAATTAACTACAGGACTAGCATCCCAAGGGATGTGGTCTACTACCATCATTACAATTTTTACATCAGGCCTGGATTACTTGCTTTAAAAATAGGTCTCTAAAACCTGAAAAGTTCCAAAGCTTCACAAAAAAAAGTGAATTATCATCTAAAATCCAATGCCCAGTGTTTATTAGTTTTTTCAGCTCTCATTCTACAAAAACTTCGTGGCTTTCATTGTTGTTGTTATGCCTCTTCTTTGGAAGAAAAGCTGGGGGGAATATCAAAACAGTATGTGGGAAAAAATCATGCCAGTTCTTCACACAGCGTAACAGTGATCTGTCATTTAGACTTGCAGTTTAAGATATTTTACACTCCCTGCCATTCTCAGATACTCCACATCCTAATTGAACACTGCATCTTATTTTTACCCATGTCTGATGAGGAATTGTGATTTTCCTTTCACGTAGACTTCACTACTCCTATCTGTGCCTTCAGCACTGCTCTTACCCTACCGTTAGCTTGCTGTCCTGTATTCTTGCACATGAAGTAGAATACCTTATGCTAAACACCTATTATTTGAGCTTTGATTTCCATATTGTAGACTACCTGGGCTTTTAAATACAATTCTCTGTTTCTGGCCTTCCTATCCATGCAACAAACATCTGCACTGCTGGCACTGGGTTATACAAGCATGTGAGTGCCATGGATTCCTTTCTCCCTTTCTGCTTCCCCTGCCCACACATTCTCCACATTCTCCCATAGCTCAGCCAAGTGTATCTTCCCTCTGTCCCCATCTTCCCGGCAAAAGCACCACTAGTCCTACCTCCTATCCTGTGCTTTATGTTGACAAGAATATAAAATGTTTACGATAATGGGGCATGGTACTGAAAGGTCAGCACTGAGATACACTGAACATTTTCATAATTGCTATATCAATTGCTAATTGCCCATGTATGATAACATCTCTCTTTTCTATGTCAACTGTCCAAAAAAAAAAAAAAAAAAGGAATTGGATTGCCTTTAACATTTTAGTGTTTTACTGGCAAAAGTAACTAGCTTTGAAAAGCCAAATAGAATATAAAACTAGAAGAATAAAATAGAAAGCTCTCTTTCAAGTTTATTTCTACAAAGAATAAGACAAATTCTGCACCAGAACAACTCTGAAAATCCATACCAATTACATCATGCCCGCAATGAGAGCTTCACCTCTTACCTTATCAGAAATTACTTTGTCCTTTGTGTTCTCTGGGTCTAATCACAACTGTGTAATCTGAATTGAGTGATGTTTACATCTTTAACATTATTAGAGAGAACACAACAAAATTAATTTTCAGAGCAGATTCCAACAGTGATCTGTGTTGGGGTCCGTGCTGGTTAGCCTGTTCTTAAATGGCTTGGAAAAGAGGGTGAATCTCGAGGTGACAATGTTGGCAAATGTTACTAAATTATTCATGGTTTTAAAGACATGGGATTACAGTAAAGAATTGCAGAAGGACTGTAAGAGACTGAATTACTGGGAAATAGTACGGTAAATTACAAGTCAATGTAGACGAGTGTAAATTGATGCAAATAGGAAAAAAAAAACTATCAATTTTACATATAAGTGATAGCTGACAATTGCTACTCTGAATGAATATAGTGGCAAGTGAAGATGGCAAATAAAGATAGTGGCAAGTGGTAATTTCAGCACCGGGCATGTGTTGAGTGACAAAAGAAGGCTTTATTTTCAGGGATGTTACACTGGCTATTTGGGTTACAATGCAAGCCACATAGCTCCCTGAAGAAATAGGTGTAACTTACCCATGAACAGAACCCAGTGCCTATAAGACTGAATCACTACTCTAGCTATCTTTGGTACGTCTGCTTCACACGAGCATAAATTTTTGTGCTATGCCTTTAACACAGAACAAGATTTCAGATTTGATTTTAAAGTTCTGGGTTGGCATTAAGTGGTAATGCAAGAGATAAATCACAGACAAAATCCAAGACAGATTAGGTCAAATGTCTGTTCAAAGAAACTAGTGCCTTGGAAGTGAAATTAAAAAAAATATATATAATCTGTAATTTGTTAACTAAGAAGTGAAACGTAAATGTCTATTTTGGTACAGAATAATTTTATTCAATTTTTTTTGCCCTTACTGAAGTCCTCCATACCTAAAGTGGTGAAACGGGATTTGTGGATCACACTGGTTAATCATGAATATTATTCCATACAATTACATATGAGAACAATACAATCCTAATGGTAATCAGATAAAGTAGATTCTTCTAGAAATAATGAATACAACGTCAACACAGGAAACACAACGCAACCTCTCTCAAAGATCCAATCATTCACATCCAAAAAGACAAACACAGATTTGAGCGGATGCAGAAGGCCACTACTAAGATGTTCAGGGGTTCAAGAATACCAAGAATATTGATTTGTTTAGTAAAGAATATGATTGATAGTTATAAAGACTTCAAGCATGTCTCTGCAAGAGGGCTATTTAAGATAAAGGACACCGTTGATCTAAGACCAGGGAAGTGTAGAAAGCTCAGTAGTAAGTTTAGACTGGAACAAGAGTAATGCTGCAGAAAAAAAAAATATACGCAAAAAGCAAAAAATGGCCTTCCACCAACAATTTTGCTGCTGTTACTAGCTTATAAAATGGCTACCATGTCACGTAATGGTGCGATTCAGCAGAGAAGCATTTCTTTGGCCCAGAAGTTCCTTTACAGTCCACATGCAGAATAATATAAAAATATCAAATAATCCTCATAAGCCAGGGCAACTTTGAAATTTTTATTATTATTATTA